CCCCCTGCCCCGGCATGAAGGTCCCTGTGCAACCTCCCAGCTCCCTCTGGTCCGGAGGCTTCTGCAGCTGCTCCATCTACTCCAGGCTCTACACTGTATACCCAGGTGGGAAACTCTAGAGCCTCCTGGCTGGGCCTCCCAAGTTGCTAGTCACCCTGGCAGACTCCCCACCTGAACCTTCGGCCTTCTCACCTGACTAGCTTTTGGCCAAGTCAACAGGCAAGTGTACCACGGGGGCTCGGAAGGAGGCCCCTGGTCTGTTCCCACCACCAGCAACGCCACCTCCCCTCCCTCATCGCCCTTTGAAGACTCCATCCTTCCTCTTCACTCTGTGACCTCTGGGCTTCTGAGGGACTGGACATCACTGCCCCCCATGCTCATGATGCCTGAACTGTATCAAGCATTTACTGTATGAACCAGGCAGCACCATTTAATTCTCCAAACGGCCTTACAAGGTAGGTGCAGGTACTGTTCTATGACAGAAGAGGAAGCTGAGGAGCAGACAGGCAAAGTCACCTGCCAAGGTCACAGAGCTGTAATCTGAACCCAGAGTGTCAGGCAGCAAACCTGGCTCTTAGTTACCTGGATTCCTGGCCTCCCCTGGCTGCCTGGAAACATGGGAGGGTCTGGATTGCCCACCCCTGTTCCTGCCCACCCTCTATCCCCCTTCTCCTTCCACAGTCCACTCACTCTTCCGAGCCATGTCCTCTGCTTGGGCAGCTACCTCCGGAGGGCTCCTACTGACCTTGGGGGAGGCTGGTCTGGGGGGCACCTCAGACTCTGTCCTGTGAGGGAAGGAGAGGGTCAGGGTCAGACTCGGCCATCTCCTAGAACTCTCTTAGAATGCTGAGGAGACTCCCAGCCAACAGGCTGAGTTTGAGTCCTCCGCCTTGTGGCCAGGCCTGGGATCTGTCCCCAGACCAGGACCCCCTGGGAAGATGCTACTGGCATTGGCCAGAGTTTGCATCCACTGAGCCCCTGGCTTTCGTGTGACACTGTGACAGTGTCTGTGGTCCCCTACGGGGCCAGGATAGTGGGTAGAAAGCAGAGCCTCCCCTCTGCCTCAGCTCTTAGCCTCCATCTTTATGAGATGTTCCAGTTACTAGAAGCCAGAGAGCGGATGAGCAGCAGAGGGACAGGCCGAGGCTCATTCTTGGCTCCCTCAGGTCTTTGTTCAGTTGGCTCCTCCTCAGGGAGGTGTCTTTTGACCCCGCGGCTAAAGCAGC